TCCCTACCACGCTCACACCTACGATTCCGCTACCCCTCCCTACCACGCCCACACCTACGACTCCGCTATCCCTCCCTACCACGCTCACACCTACGATTCCGCTATCCCTCCCTACCACGCCCACACCTACGATTCTGCTATCCCTCCCTACCACACCCACACCTACGATTCCACTATCCCTCCTTACCACGCCCACACCTACGATTCCACTATCCCTCCCTACCACGCCCACACCTACGACTCCGCTATCCCTCCCTACCACGCTCACACCTACGATCCCGCTATCCCTCCCTACCACACCCACACCTACGATTCCGCTATCCCTCCCTACCACACCCACACCTACGATTCCGCTATCCCTCCTCACGCTCCCATCCTCGCTCACGCCTCGTCACATATAGTGCAAGTGGCGCGAACAAAGGAGGCAATGAGAGAGGTCATTTCGTGGTCATCCTCTCATAGAACATTTAGCTGACAGGAGATATGGCAGTGACGTCAATGGTGTCAATGGTGTCGTTACGCACATAATAGACTCCTATTTGCCGTTGCTAGACGATAAAACCGTAGAAGTACTATATATATATATATATATCAGGAGTAGATAATAGGGCACGCACGCACGCACGCACTCACGCAGACATACACACACTTCTCTCTCTCTCTCTCTCTATCTCTATCTCTCTCTCCCTCTCTGTGTGCGTTTCTTTCTGCCCCTCTCTCGCACTCTTTATTTCCACCTCTCTCCCTGGCTCCCTCCTCTCTCAATCGCATTCCATCTCTCCTCTTCCCCACTGTTGTTTTGTGCACTTAGTGGTGACACGTGACGAGGGCCATGCGGGATTGTCCATACGCCGGCTGTTTTTGTGCTAATTTAATAAAATTGCGGCAAAATTTGAAGTAAATTGTTTTACTGCGGTAATCATCACCGACTCTTTTTCTCACGCTAACACAGTATAGCACGAGTGTCGACCACCAGTAAAGTAATTTTGCCAGTCGCACAACATTTGTACGCGCAAAATATAACTCCCTATCGGCGCGTGGGCATGTAATGCGAGCGTACGCCACGGAAAAACTAACGATAGAGGCCCACGGCTTTACGAACCTATGCGCGCAGAAGTTCGACGTACATTGCCTAGTAGCTTAAAGCTATATTTTATTATTCGCATTTTCCTGCTTCTGTAACTTGTGATTTCTGTAAAAGGCTATCACTAGACCCAGAGGCGATAGCCTATGAGATACTTTGCCCCTTTTTTTAGTAATTTATTAGTTTTATTTGTTTCAGGCGCTTACAATCCTGTGGCTAACAAGAGACGATCATTTCTGTATAACTCGGCAGGGCGGTGGGTCAGTTAGTATATATACATCACGTCAACGCTAGATACATCTGATACGAGCATATTTTTCAAGACTATTACTACTGCAACGACTATCCCCGTTCCGTCTTCAAGCTATTTAACTGCGTATAGTGATCGTTATCACTTCTTATTCATTTTGATTTATTCCCATGTCATCAACGTTGTCTACAATCTTAGAAATTCAAAGAAACGTTGATAGCTGTGCAGTTTTACATTCGACGTATATCGAGTATGGGCATTGTAAATACGGATTTATCTTGATGTCTGATGTGTTGTAATTTATTCTTGCCTTATTTTTGGCCAATCATTCAGTTAGATAATGTAACGTAGCTCACACTCATTACTCAAACGTAGCACTCAAACGTAGTCATTTCAGTGGGCGGATAAATAAAAAGGCAAAACTTTTTTACGATTAACTTTTTTAAACGATTTTAATCATGCATTTCTGCTGCTCGCCTTTGAATTCGATTTTGCAATTAAATTATCGCGCTAACTATACTCATTCATGGCGCCGATCAATGGCTTAAATTTCTTTTAGCTGTTAGCTGAGTGTTGGCGTGTGTGTGACGTGCGTGCCACTAACGCGTGTAAAATGACGTCGATTTGATCGAGTAGTCGCATGACGGTAGCAGCTGCGTACTAGCTTCGTACGAAAAACTGCTGGAAATTCGCAAAAATTGCGAAATGTGGCAGTTTACGAACGGAGCCCATCTCTCCTTCACCCACGCTCACGCTTCCGCGACCATCCACGGTCACGCTAACGCACATACCTACGTATCCGCTCATTCTCTCACCCACGGTCCTGCCCACACCTACGATTCCGCTATCCCTCCCTACCACACCCACGGTCCTGCCCACACCTACGATTCCGCTATCCCTCCCTACCACA